AATACACAAATTAGGCCAGGCACGGTGGCTCACGCCTGTAATCCTAGCACTTTGGGAGGCCGAGGCAGGTAAATCACCCGAGGTCGGGAGTTCGAGACCAGCCTGACCAACATGGAGAAACCCTGTCTCTACTAAAAATACAAAATTAGCCAGCCATGGTGCCACATGCCTGTAATCCCAGCTACTCGGGAGGCTGAGCCAAGAGAATCGCTTGAACCCAGTAGGCGGAGGTTGTGGTGAGCCAAGATCACACCATTACACTCCAGCCTGGGCAACAACAGTGAAACTCTGTCCCCCACCCAGCCAAAAAAACCAATATATACATGTGTGGTAGTGCATGCTTGTGGTCCCAGCTGCTGAGGAGGCTGAGGTAGCTGGATCTTTTGAGTCCAGGAAGTCAAGGCTGCAGTGAGCCTTGCATTCTGCATTCTAGCCTGGGTGACAGAGCAAGACTCTATCTCAAGAAAGAAAAAAAAAAACAGTCTAGTGGTAAACCTGGTCTCAGAAATGTCTGCATATGTGCCAAATGTAGGTCGTGAAAAGCAAGAGATGCATGAAGGATGTGAAAGAATTTCTCGTGGGGTTATTTTAGAAACTCCTCCTGATGGTTCTTATCTCAGACATGCAAGCAAGAGCCCTTTTTTGTGCCTTCCCTGCTCCAAGTTTGTTTGGGTCTGACAAGAGTGCTTTCATCCTGTTATGACCAGCTGCCTGACCCTCCAGTGCCTGGCACACAGGACAGGGACAGCAGATGTCTTCTGAATAAATAGTTTGTTAGCCAGGATTCACAGTATGGAAAGATGACTGGGGCTGCCATGGCCACCCAGCCTCCCTGGAGCCTTCACTGCCTGGAGCTGGCTGAGGGTGGCAGCAGCCAGGATGAAGAGGAAAGCCTAACACCTTGACTTGTTTCCCTCTTCATCCAAGAAGGGAACCTGGGAACCAGTCTTCAGTGGGAATCTTCTGTGGATGTAGAAAACTGTACCCTAAAGGGGAAGGGAAGGAACACTGAACCCTCCTCATGGGCCTGGTAGCTTTCTATACAAGTTACCCTATTTAATCTCCACAGCAAGCCTACTAGATGCTGAGATCTCCATGTGCAAATACCCCAGAACCCCACCAAGATGAGGCACAGTGACTCATGGGAAGCCTTGTCTTCCTTGGGCCCATCTGTGAGGAGCAGAACAGCTCACCTCTTGCCTTACATGCTAGTCCTAGGTGATGCATCCAGCCTACCTCTTGTTGCCACCCTACCCCACCATCAGTGCCACACACCCATGAACACAAACCCACTGAGGCTGAGCGGCTGGCTGTGCCACTGTCACAGGATCCTCAGGGTGTCACTTCACCAGCTGGAAACTTCTGTGGCCAGTGGCAGCTTTGCCTGAGTTTTGCTTGGGCCCACTGGGCTCCTTCCGCCCACTTGGCCTGGCAGGCTGTGCTTGTCTTTCACTACTGGTCCAGATCCCATGCCTGCCAAGGGCAAGCCAGGTGCAGAGCAGCAAGGGTTGCATGAGCAAATGAGTGCAGGGTCCAGCCACTGGGCACAGCCAGGCATGCCAACTATGGCAGGGTGGGCAGCTCCAGGCACCAGCGTGGGCCCTGGCTACCTGCTGTGGCTGTGGCTAGACCAAGCATACCGCAAGCAGCTTCCACTGTGGGCACCAGGGAACATGGTGACGCCCAGAAGCTTGGAGGCTCCAGCAACCACAGAGCTTCAAAGAGGGTGTCACAGCTTTGGCTTGGGAAGCTCCTAAATCTGGGCTCCCCAAGGGGCTGCAACTCTTCTCTCTTCTCTCCTCATCACCCACAACGTGGTGAGTTGGGGGGTGTGCTTCAGCCTGTTTGTGTTACAGCTCTTTCAGTCCCGCCATTCAGTGGGTCCCAAGTTCTTGTCCCATGTCCAGGAAGAATGAGGTACACAGACAACTGGAGGGCAAGCAAGGAGAAGAGGTGCTTTGCTGAGTGACAGATGACAGTACAGCTCTCAGGAGACCCAAAATGGGTAGCTCCTTTCTGCGGACAGATCATCCCATCATCTGTGCAGCCCTCAGTGGAGAGGAGACCCATAGTGTGTAGCACCTCTCTGCAGGCAGGTTGTCCTGTTTTCTGCCTGAGTCTGGCTGAGTCAGAAGTTTTTATGAGCTTCAGAGGGGAGGAAGTGCATGCTGATTCATCCATGGACGGGCCCAGAAAAACCACCGTAAGTTCTCACTCCAGTCTGGAGAACTGGCAGCCCAGCCCCCAGGCTTCAGTCTATCCCTGGCTTGAAAGTGAGGTTTCACTGGGGACCCTGCCCCTTTCCACCCAGGAGCCTGTCTGCTTCCTGCCCTTGTTCACAGTGCCCAGGCTGTTTGTGCCAAGGGGTGCCTGCAGACCTGCCTTGAGCTGAACTAAGCCACGCCTTGGCCTCTCTGCCATGCTCATTGGTGTCCAAAGTCTGGAGGGGGCTGAGGCGGCAGGTGGCTGGTGTGTCAGCACCACCCCTACCATGCACACACCTGGCTGGGTCGTGACAGTGCCTGGGCTCAGCCACAACTTTGATCCAAAATCAGAGTAGGTGCCAGGAGCAGTGAGAGGCCAGTCAGTGGGAACAGGCACTTCCGGGCCTGTGGGAGCAGGGGAGCTTCCTGGGCCCCTGAGAGCACAGGGATACCTAGGTCAGCAGCTGTGGCTGGGTGGCTGCAGCTGCTTCCAGTAGTGTGGGGCTCCCACCCCACCAACCTGAAAGGGGATGGGGCTCCCACCTGTTCCTGGCTCACACTGGCACTGGCTACTGCTGCCAGCACCACCTCATCCAGGCCCTGCCTGCCTTGCTGCTTGGCTCCTGAGAAGGTGGAAGCACTGGTTCTAAGCCTACAGACAGTGTCAGGCTTAGGAAAGGAAGGACATAGCAGCCAGGCTGCCATGTTTCTTGCTAGTTACTTGAGTAGTATAAAGTTGGAAGAGTTCAGGGACCCAGAGAAAGCAGAGGTAGTGAAATATGAATACGACCAAGAGGGACTTATTCTCTGCTCAATGATTCAGCAGCTTGGGCACAGAAGCACCACTGAAGACGTAAGCCATGTCTCGGAGCACTTGTAGATCATGCTTGTTGTCCACTTGTGGAATCTAGAGGGCAAAATACTGCATCAGGCAAGTGACAGCTCAGCTCTGTACTCCTTTAAGAGGTCAGATAAAAATGGCGTATCCCAAAGAACAGTTCTTACTTCAACTGAAGGGAGAACCAGCAATAGCCCTGAAAAAAATAACCCATAACCAAAGATGATAGCCTTTTTTCAGTGCCTACTGCTTCTCTGGAATGAGTTTCTGTGTTCTCTGTGAAGGGACAGGAGGAACAGGTTCCCCTTTCCCCACCCTTCAGTGACATGGGACATGGCTGTCACTGATGCAGCACTTAGCATATTCTCTGGCATTGGCAAGTGGTTGTTACATGTTTATTAAATAAATATTAACAAAAAGAAAAAATGTGGACTTGATCTGAGGGGGAAGATAATGAGTCTAAGGTGAACATGTTGAACGCCAGGTGCTCTGGACATCTTGTGGTGTGGGATATGAGTCCAGAGCTCATGATCTCAGTTGAGATATTGAGTCGGGGGAGTAGAAGAGCAAAACTAAGGCTGAGGAAGAAGCTTTTGCATCTTTGATGGTTATCTTTTTTGCAGATATCAAGTCTGTATCTCTAGTTGAGCCTCTTCTGGGCTCATCCCAGTCTACCCATCTTCCAAATGTCTGTCTCTTACAATTTTCCACACTCACCGCATTTAAGACAGAGCTCATTGTCTCCCAAGGAAACGTGACTTTCTCCCTGGTTTCCCAGTTATTCCAAATGGTCATGGAGTCTTAGTCACCCAGCCTAAGCCATTATGTTCTCCTGGATAAAATTTAGTAAAATTTTAGCTGCCCGGAAGGCTTGAGATTGAAGATGCTCATTTCTCTGAGTTACATTAAAGAAAAAAATGGTGCTTGTTTAAAAGATCTTTCTGGAGTATTATAGTGTAGCTTTTTCCACCGTTCTTGTTTCGCCATGGGATGCTCTTCTCCCAGCACTTGCCAAGACTCTGTCCCTCACATCCTTCAGGCCTCTGCCTAAATGTGACCCTGGTAGAGAGGTCTTCTCTGATCCTACCTTAGTTAAAACAGCACCTTCCACCTTTACCCTGCTTGATTTCATTTCGTATTTATCACTATACGATTAGCTATTTTTTTCTGATCTCTTATTATATGATGTGTGCATCTCTCTCCCTGCATTAGTCCATTTTCACACTGCTCTGAAGATACTACCTGAGACTGGGTAATTTATAAACCAAAGAGGTTTAACTGACTCACAGTTCTGCATGGCTGGAGAGGCCCCAGGAAACTTACAGTCATGGTAGAAAGCAAAGGGGAAGCAAGGCATGTCTTACATGGTGGCAGGGGAAACTGCCACTTTTAAAACCATCAGATCTGGTGATATCTCCCTCATTATCACGGGAACAGCATGGGGAATCCGTCCCCACAATCCAATCACAGGACTCCCACCAGGTCCCTCCCTTGACATGTGGGTATTATAATTTGAGATGAGATTTGGGTGGGGACACAGAGCCAAACCATCACTCCCTCACTAAGAATGTGAGGGAGGGACTTGGTTTTTTTATTGTCGTATTCCCAGTGCTTTGAAGGTGTTTGGTACATAGTAGATGCTCAGTAAATATTTCTTTGATAAATATTTGTAAGCAACCCTGAGCAATATGTCATGTTAGATCTAGTTTACATATTTGGAAACTGAGGCTCACCGTGGCTTCTAAATGGCAGACCTAGTGACAGATTGCATCACCTGGGAATTTTATACTTCATCAAGCAGCTTTCCAGATAAGACAAATCATTATAAGCATGTATTTTTACTCATCGTAGGTACCCAAACCGCTCAAACAGAAATGATAAGATCTATTAGTGGAAGTAGTTGTTATACTTAGATATTTCTGACTTAAAAAAAAATTGCCTTTTTCTCCCAAATTCAGGAGGATATGGTAAAAAAAGTGGTCGTAGTAAAAAATGGAGGGAGATATTGACGCTGCCTCCTGTCAGCCAGTGCAGTGAGCTCAGACATTCCATTGGTGAGTAAATAGTGCCTACTTATGCCTGAATGATACATCTGGCATTATACCATTCGTTAGATGTTATTCTTTCTTGAGAATATTGAAAACAAATACGGAATACGTTATTCCGTATTTGTTTCAAACGTTTTATGATAAATTCTCCTTATATCTTCATTACTCCTCTCAGGAAAGAAAAACCTTTAGATTTTCTGATCTGCAGTTATAAAGTTGGCTGTTGGTTTTTTTCATTAAGAACTTTTTTTTTTTTTTTGGAGAGGTAGGGTCTCACCATGTTGCCCAGACTGGTCTTAAACTCCTGAGCTCAAGCAATCTGCCCCCACCGGCCTCCCAAAGTACTGGAATTACAGGCCTGAGCCACTGTGCCTGGCCCACATTAAAAACATTTTTTAAAAGTAATACGTGTGGCCGGGCGCGGTGGCTCAAGCCTGTAATCCCAGCACTTTGGGAGGCCGAGACGGGTGGATCACGAGGTCAGGAGATCGAGACCATCCTGGCTAACACGGTGAAACCCCATCTCTACTAAAAAAATAGAAAAAAATTAGCTGGGCGAGGTGGGGGGCGCCTGTAGTCCCAGCTACTCGGGAGGCTGAGGCAGGAGAATGGCGTGAACCCGGGAGGCGGAGCTTGCAGTGAGCTGAGATCCGGCCACTGCACTCCAGCCCGGGCGACAGAGCGAGACTCCGTCTAAAAAAAAAAAAAAAAAAAAAAGTAATACGTATACTCATTGTTCTATACATAACTGAAGAAAAAGTAAAAATTCCTCTTCCCACGACCCGGTCGATTATTGTCTCCAGAAGAAACACTGTTAAGTATTGTTTAGTAGCCTTCCAGACAGTTTTCTATGCATGTTTTTAAAAAATATTGGGCCAGGCATGGTGGCAAATACCTGTAGTCGCAGCTACTTGGGAGACTGAGGCAGGAGGATCCCTTGAGCCCAAGAGGTTGAATCCAACCTGGGCAACATAGTGAGACCTGTCTCGAGGAGGGGAAAAAAAGAGGGAAAGAAAGAAAAAAGACAAGAAAAGTTTCTGTTGATCTTCAGGAAAGGATTAGTCAAATAAAAATACAGTATATCAGTATAACAGAATACTCTGCAACTATAAAGAATGAGAGTTAGCTACAGGTCCTAACATGAGCCTAAGAAGTCAGATGTAGAATCATCTCTGTAGAGCAGTCATAACCGTATTTTTTAAAGATAGAATTTTCAGTTCAAAGGGTACATGCATTTAAACTTTTGATGTTGCTAAATCACCCCCACCAAAAGATTGTGTCAGTTTACCGTTCTGCCAACAGTATGTAGCAAGCTTTCTTTGCCATGCTTTTGCTAATACTGGTTGTTATCAGTATTTTTAATATTTACTAAACTGTTATTTGAAAAATGGTTTCTTATGGATGGGGTAGAACATTTCCATTGGATTTTTTCAATTTTTCCTTTCTCTTTTCTTTCTTTCTTTTCTTTTCTTTTTTTTTTTGGAGACAGAGTCTCAGCACTCCAGGCTAGAGTGCAGTGGCGAGGTCTCAGTTCACTGCAGCTTCCGCCTCCCAGTTCAAGCAGTTCTCCTGCCTCAGCCTCCGGAGTAGCTGGGACTACAGGCACATACCACCACGCCTGGCTAATTTTTGTGTTTTTAGTAGAGACGGCGTTTCCCCATGTTGGCCAGGCTGGTCTCGAACCCCTGACCTCAGGTAATCTGCCTGCCTCTTCCTCCCAAAGTGCCGAGATTATAGGCATGAGCCACCGCGCCCAGCCTCCTTTTTCTTTTCTGATTCATTTATAAAAGCTGTTTATATATAAAAGGAGTTATCATTTTATATCCAATGTGAATATATTTATAATTTTGCTTTTTTCCCTTTGGTGTACAGTGTCTTTTTTTCATACAGAGGTTTTAATATTTCATAGAGACAAATGTATCAGTATTTTCCTTCTTAGATTCTGAGCTTTGTGTTATCTGTAGGAAGGACACGTTTATTCCAAGATGATTTTTACAAACCAATCCATCTTTCCTTTAGTACTCTTGTAGTTCCTCTTAAAGAAAGATGAAGTATTTTATTTATCAAGATTAGTTTCTGGTGGTATAAAGGAGCTAGTATTTCCCTCATTGTTTTAACTCCACCATTGTTTTAACTCCACCAAGTTTTTAAAATAACTGCTTCTTGAAGATATAATTCATATGCCATACAGCTTATCCATTTAAAGTATCTAGTTCAGTAGTTTTTAATATATTGAGTTGTGAAACCACCACAATCAATTTGACAGCATTTCCAGCACCCCAAGAAGAAACGCCACACCCATTGGTAGCCACTCCTCACTCCGTCCTGCTCCCTCCAGAGCTAGACAACCACAGATCCACTTTCTGTCTATGTCTTTGCCTGTTCTGGACATTTCATATAAAGGGGAATCATATACTACGTGGTCTTTCACGTAGCATAATGTTGTTAAAGTACTTCATTCTTTTTTTGTTGGTGAATAATCTTCCATTATATGGATATATCACATTTTATTTAGCCATTCTTCAGTTGATAGACATTGGAGTTGTTTTCTACTCTTGCCTATTATGAATAATGCTGCTATGAAAATTCATGTGCTAGGCTTTTAAAAATCATGATAAAATATACATAACAAAAATTACTGTTTTAAGTGTACAGCTCAGTGGCGTTGAGTTGGATATTGCATGGATATACCACATTTTGCTTATCTGTTCATCTGTTGATGGACATTGGGTGTTCCAAGTTTTTGGCTGTGTGAATAGCGTTGCTAGGAACATTGGTGTGCAAATTTTCTGTTTGAGTCCCTGCTTTTACTTGTTTTGTGTATGTATTCAGAAGCAGAATTGTTGGCCGGGCATGGCGGCTCACACCTATAATCCCAGCAATTTGGGAGGCCGAGGTGGGCGGATCACTTGAGGTCAGGAGTTTGAGACTAGCCTGGCCAACATGGTGAAACCCTGTTTCTACTAAAATTACAAAAATTGGGTTGGGCGCGATGGCTCATGCCTGTAATCCCAGCATTTTGGAAAGCCAAAGCAGGTGGATCATCTGAGGTCAGGAGTTCGAAACCAGCCTGGCCAACATAGTGAAATCACATCTTTACTAAAAATACAAAAATTACCTGGACGTGGAGGCATGCGCCTGTAATCCAAGGTACTCAGGAGGTTGAGGCATGAGAATTGCTTGAACCCAGGAGGGGGAGGTTGCAGCGAGCTGAGATTGTGCCACTGCACTCCAGCCTGGATGACAAAAAAAAAAAAAGAAGTAGAATCATAGGGTAGTTCTGTGTGTAACTTTTTGAGGAATACCAGACTCTTCTTCCAAACTGCTGCCCCATGTTACATTCCCACTAGGATGTGGTCAGTTACTTCACATCCTTCCCAACGCTTTTTATTTTCCTCTTTATTTTTCATTTTCTCCAATCCTAGTGGGTGTGAAGTATCTTATTGTGTTTTGATTTGCATTTCTCTAATGATTAATGATGTTGAGCATATTTTCATGTCCTTATGGGCCATTTATAAACCTTTAGAGAAATGTCTGTTCACATCTTTTATCCATTTTAAAAATTGAATTGTCTTTTTGTTGTTGAGGTATAAGATTTCTTATAAGATTTCTTTATATATTCTAGATATTAGATGCTTAACAGATAAGCAGGAGAATTGCCTGAACCCAGGAGGTAGAGGTTGCAGTGAGTCGAGATTGTACCACTGCGTTCCAGCCTGGGCAACAGAGGAAGGAGACTGTTTCAAAAACAAAAAAAAAACACAAAACAACAACAACAACAAAAAAGAAGAAAATAATACTGCAAATACTGTTTTTGACTTTTATTTTATCAAGTGAAAACAGGCTTAGAACAGCATGTGGTGGATTGTAATGATTATATTTGTTTGCTTCTTATCCCTTTTCTTCACCCAGAAAGGGAATATAACAGTCTTTGTGACAAGCAACCGATAGGAAGACTTCTCTTCAGGCAGTTCTGTGATACCAAACCCACTCTAAAGAGGCACATTGAATTCTTGGATGCAGTGGTAAGCAGTTTATCTCCATACTGAGCAACCCACCCAATCTTGTGCTTTTGAAAATGTAAAAACTGGCCTGGCACGGTAGCTCACGCCTGTAATCCCAGCACTTTGGGAGGCTGAGGTGGGTGGATCACGAGGTCAGGAGATCAAGACCATCTGACCAACATAGTGAAACCCCTTCTCTACTAAAATAAAAAAAATTAGCCAGGCGTGGTGGCAGGTGCCTGTAGTCCCAGCTACTTGGGAGGCTGAGGCAGGGGAATCACTTGAACCAGGAGGCAGAGGTTGCAGTGAGCTGAGATTGTGCCACTGTACTCCAGCCTGGATGACAGAGCAAGACTCTGTCCCCAAAAAAAAAAAAAGGAAAATGTAAAAACTAGACCTGGGCAATGATGTAGGAGTGGAGGGACTAGTTGTCTTGGTGTCATACTGTCTTCTTAAGACAGAAATCCCTTTAGTCTAAAGTGGTATTTTATGTAGAATTACATCTCAAGTTTTGGAGCATCACATGTAGTCACTGAATGACTTTGAAACTTGAGGCTTTAATTGTATGAAGATGACAGACTAAATAAGATAATGCTTTTTTAATTTTAATTTTTTTTTTTTGTGATGGAGTCTCTCTCTGTTGCCCAGGCTGGAGTGCAGTGGCGTGATCTTGGCTCACTGCAACCTCTGCCTCCCGGGTTCAAGCAATTCTCCTGCCTCAGCTTTGTGATCCGCCAGCCTTGGCCTCTCAAAGTGCTGGGATTACAGGCATGAGCCACTGCGCCTAGCCCTAAGATGATAATGCTTGTTTGGCCACCTGAAAAGTGTCCTTTCTGCACTCAACTGGCCAATGCTCTTAACTTAAAAACGTTTTAACCCAGAAGCATATGGAAGGGATAAAGTTTGTGTAAGAAGAATGATCACTTTGGATGGAATTTACTATGCTCAATAAAGTTTCCAACATTCTCATGTATCGTGTTTGAGATTTACTGTGATTTCCTTACAGGTAAAGAAACTTTATGTTTCTAAATCTTTATGGGTACCATTGGCAAGCCTACAATTTCAAAACTATGAAATTCAGAAGCAAGCGACCAATCGAAAATTGCTGGAATTTAGCAGAAAAGCTCTCACTTTTGTACCAGGGTTATGACCCTTCCTCTGTCTGCTTTGGCCTGTCCTAATTGTTATCAGCAAATGTGTATTGAGTGCTTATTATATGCAGACATATATTATATGTCTTACATCATTTAATTTGGATTTGATTTTCCTCTAACACAGCTTTTTAAAAACTTTAAAATATATATTTATAATGTATTCTTTTCAGAAAAACATTTGCGGCTGCTTTGTTGTTTGCTTCCTTCCCCCAGATCTCTCCCAGTCCTTTCTTTTCTAGCACTGTTGCTAGAATAAGGTGATTCTTCTTCTTCCTTTTTTTTTTTTTTTTTGAGACAGAGGG